ACGAGGCAACTTGGTGCGTTCATAGGACAACCAGACATTTCAGCAGACCCGCTGTCGAGACCCATGGCTGTTTTACCGGGTCATTCGACCGCCATTGCAGATTGGAAGCATTACAGAACCCAATGATAGATTGAAAGCCATCAACTGACTCCCGCAAAGAACCTGGAAAAACGAGTTACTTGACTCGGCAGTGGATTGCCAATTCGTCGACGCCTGCTATAACACCGAAAATGGAGGAGGTGGACTCGTTTGGCATCTGATGACCCTTGTAATCGGTATGATGCGACTTTCTTTTTCTTGCAACACGTCACATGACGCGTATTTCCCGAGTCACAAAAGTAAAAGCAGTCGCACTTTTTAGCTGTATGGTGCTGATTTTCATCATGTTAATGATCTCATAAATACGGCATTAGCGATAGCAGCTCAAATATTTCTCAACTAAAACTTTCGGGCGGTATTAACGACCGGATGTTAACAAATATTCCAAAAATCAAATACCCCACTATGGTGTGGGTCAACTTAATACCTTGATATTTAAAAACTAAGAGAGCTAGAAACGCCAAATGCACAGGGCAGATTTGCCTTATGCGTGTTCAGTTTTGCCAAAATTGGCGTTTGCCAGGTAATGACCTCCGGGTCAAATAAGGTCAAATAAGGTCCAACTCCAGATCGGTGTTCAAAGTGCCCCAGACCGTCTCATGCAGCCGCCTTCAGACTATTTACCTGTTTTAAACAAAAGTCCCTGGTGTCCACTTTCGGTTAGTGCCCTTGCATTCATTTTAGAAGTTCATGGTCACTAAAAACCTACGGGGTTGTTTTGAGTTTTGACTTTGAATAAACGTCAAGGATTACGCCAGCGGTACATTCTTAAGAACGAACTGCTGATCTGGGTCATTATAGGTCAGTGACCTACTCTGGCCTTTAAGAACTCCATCGAAGATGTCTGCTGCCGCCCCTGTTATCCTGAAATTCGAAATGAGCGTCAGGAGCTACATTTTAAAGCAAACTCCCAGCAAAAAAAAAAAAATAACTGCGGTTTCAAGCTTAATTAGGCTTTCATGACTGAGATCAAATGTCGATGGAACTTGTCGTTGTACTAAATTCAGTTATCTTATTGCCTAAGAACTATGTCAACTTTGCATGTTTTTTTTATAAACTACGTTAACGCATCAGATCGAACGTTTCTCTAGAATTTGCTTTTGCTGTCGACCCAGGGCTGAGTTTGTCCTGCTAAACGTCAGTTACCTTACAAGCTAATTATAATTTGTCCCGCCAAAAGATCCGCTATTCAATTACTTGCAGCTAACCGGAGTTTGTCGCAGCCAAGCCGCGCCTTTGGAAGATGTTCTAGCAAAAACCTTCAGTGTCGCCCAATCCCTAACTTTAAGAGAGTGATTTCCAGCCATGCACCGGGAGCACCAGGTACGCAGATATTATGTAGACCTAGCTGCTACCCTACATGCATCACAGAACTACGTGAAAACCCTCAACAAAACTACACCACATAGAACACGCATCTACGCCCTTGTTATGTTATATTCGATCACCAATTGGGCCAACGCTGTTAAGGAGTTGAGCACGTGAAAAGCACACCTTCGAGCTGAATGAGTAGAAAGCTGTGTCACTCCCTCATGATGCACATGAAACTTCACTTTTGCCCTGCGCTTGATCTTTACGTCATAATGCCGTGTGAAGTTCGGTTTTAAAACGAGGAGCCTGGTGGGTTGATGACTACTTTCAAACATGACAGCACTTGTGGTTGCACCGTGATGGTACCGTGAAATATGGAAGCAATGTCGGTCATGGTGTTATGGCGAGGTCACACGAAAAAAGAAACATTCGAAACACAAAAAAAGCTCAGTTCTTCTGTTCTAAAACTTCTTATGTCCTTCCTTCTGCTGTTTTTTGGTTCTTGAAACATGCACTCAGAAATGAAATTTTCACCTTTTCGAAGAAATAAGTTCTGGGAAACATTTTTCGTGGGCATAATCGTCCACACTCCATGTGTTATCCTCTCTTTTTAGTCTCCCCCAAAACTGACTCGCAATTATCTCCTCGTTCCAGCGCACATAAACCCACTAAGCCATCGCGTGACGAGAATTGGCAGCGATCTGTGACTCCAGCCGGCATTCTGGCCGGCGTCATGCCTGCCGCCGGCGGGCAAGGTAGCGGTGCGGGCGGACACTTTGGCGAGCCGGCGCCCCGACCGCCGCAATGTCAAGGTCACGCGCCGCCCCGCTATAAGACCAAAACCAGGCCAGCCGGCACCCACGACGTCAGTGCTCTAGACAAATCGGCAACATGAAGGTAACTCGGAGCGGGCGTGTCCGGCGCGGAGGAGCCTGAGGGCGGAGTGCTCGTGGTGGAGTTCCTGGCGAGTGGCGAACGGTGGCGAAGTGAGGCGCATACGCGAACTGGCGTTCCTAGTGCAGTACCACATACCAGGACTCGTGGAGTGATACCAGACTTGTAGTTCAGTGGCTTCGTGGCCAGGAATTTTGACGTCGTGCATTTTTAAGGCCATGAGCGTTGGTGTAAGTAGTGCATCACATTCTTCTCTCTCTCTCTCTCTCTCCCCCTCTCTCTCTCGCTATCTCTCTCTTTCTCTCCTCTCTCTCTCTCTCTCTCTCTCTCTCTCTCTCTCTCTCTCTCTCTCTCTCGCTCTCTCCTCCTCTCTCTCTCTCTCTCTCTCTCTCTCTCTCTCTCTCTCTCTCCCTTTCCTTCTCCATCACTCTCTCTCTCTCCCCTCCCTCTCTCTGTCCCTCAATTTCTTCCTTTTTCTCTCTCGACCTCTTTCTCTGCCTCCTCTCCCGCTCACTCTCTACATATTACGAGCCTGGTGGTCTAAAGTGTAAAAATGGCATGCTGAATTACATGCGAGTAATGCATCGTTTTGTGCCAAAAATTCCTATAGAAATCCAGTCATTTACATGCAATTTGTTTTCTGACGCTTGCTATTAAGGTTGTCTGCTTGCCGGACGGTCATCGGTGCAAAGTTTATTAGAAATGTTTGCGGCGCTGCGGTAAATCTCGTCTTTAACCTTAGTCTATAACGTGCCATATACCAATAACCCCGATTTAAGAAGGTTTCATCCATTTCTTCCGGTGCATTGCATCGTTCATTCTTATCCTTCGTCGGTAGAAATTGCAAGAGCTTTGCACATCTGGCCAGTATGGACAGCCCAGCACGGTTGTTTAAGCCAAGTCAGTTTCAAAGCAAATGGCAGTGCCAGCAGGGCAGTTAGCTCAAACGCAGTGCTTCACCAGGATGGTGGAACGTGGTGTAATCTTGCAAGCGATGTAAATCCGATATCTGAGTGAATGACGCGGTGAATGCATTTCACAGATGGCTCAGAAGTGGCATGTAGACGCGCAGCGAGTCTGATATTGACAAATTGCTTAATGTTCCAATGCTCAAGCGATGCTATAACGCAGGATGTTTCTATAATGCAATGGGTCACGTGCTGTAACGCTACGTCACGCCTTGTGCGTTTTATTTTCGATCCAGAAGAGTAGTCTGATTACCATGTGACGCTATTACCCATGCATGCATTGAGGAAGCAGCGTTTTAAATTACAGTAAACAGAGACATTAATAAATACTAAACATTGCATTTGACGCATTGGGCACATCGTTTCCGCCAGCTTAACGGCCTGTTTGACCAATGAGCGGTTTGTGCGGGTGTGCAGCACTTAGCTACGCCAGTCACCGGTCCTGCATGCCTCGAGTAGCACTTAGTCGTCAGACGTAAGGTTTGAATCTATGAGCGACACATCAAGTCGTCTTACAATGGATGCAGCTTTTTCCAAACTAGTAACTCATTGCAGCAATGAGCGCGTTTAAAAAAGCTCATGAATAGCGTGTCAAAGCGCAGTGAAACAAAGGCACAAGATTCCGCAGCGCATATGATGCACTGGAACACAGAATTATGCTTCGACGGGTTCTGTCCACCAATGGGTGTTTTTTTAGTAGCTGAGAGGAACCAGATGCTTACCACAAGACGCTGTAATTCTTGTTTGCATTTAAATGGGTATATTCGAAACAGAGGTGCACCATTTTTGCAGAAATGTTGATGTCACGTTCCGCAACGGCTCATCGAGACTTTGAGGCCTCAGCGTCGCTTCTAAAATGCCGCTTTTTAACTCTGACGTGCAGAGCAGCAGGGAATGTTGTAGCTTTTGCATATTTTTGCATATTTTGTTCGTCCAGCGGGTTGACATGTTTACGTCACCTGGATGCAACAACTCGATAGGTCTACTTTAAGTGCCGAATGGATGTAGACTTGGATCCCCGGCGACAATTGGCGTGTAAATGATTTATTTGGCTGAGAACGCATTAGAAACATCGTAGAATGTAGAGTCCAGGGATAGGCTACATGCTGAGCTCAGGACCTTTTCAGGCACGGATTCAACAAGCTGTTATTCGTCAATTCGTTGGAAAGAGCGCGTGACCATTTTGACCCGCGGGTCACTGGAGGCCATGTTATGCGCCATCTTATTTAGACCCGCGGGTCACTGGAGGCCATGTCACTGGGCACCATCTTTTCTGGCATGTCTTCCAAGCAAACCAACCAGCGAATTGAAACGCTCCGTGCTCCTATAGAATCACTAGAATTACATTGTGTCAAAACCTTTGGCCGCTAATGTTAAGTGAGGTAACAATGGCGTCACTGGTGCTATCGTAGCCACTAGGTTTTTAGTTTGCAGATTTTTTTGGTCTCTTTGACATTATCTGATATGCGATCACACACTTATGGTAGTTGGCTTAAAACGCTACATGAGGCTAACGTAAACTGAGGTAGCCCACCTTAGCCTTATGCTAGATCATCATGCATTACTAATGTTCAGGCTTGACGCTTAGCGCCAGCAGCCCGTGGCACATCGCCATCTTGCCACATCCGCTACCCCCGCATAGCCACGTCCAACTGCATGAGAACGTGGAAAGCCCCCACGTGCTGCCGTTGGGCGGCGGTGGCCCGTGCCGCGTATGAAGCCGGCCACTGTCAGCTGGCGGAACGGAAGCCGCGCGCCCCGCGAGACCAGCGTGATGCGCCGCATCACATTGGTCTCGCAGTGCTGCAGCTTGGAACCGTGACGCAGCTTGAAGCGCATTTCTGGAACATTTCTGGAAGCGCACTTCAAGCACGCTCGTGTTGGCTTAGTGGGTAGTGTTTGGTAGGCAGTACAGACTTAGCATGTCAGGCCTTCCTAATTCACTTTTGCGCTTGCCTCCTGCACAGTCTAGGGATGCGAGAACAGAAATATGGTGTGCCTATGCCGTCTAGAGGCCTAAAATATCACAGATCTGCAGATTATGCAGATGAATTACGCTTTCAGGCTTGGCCGGAAGTGTGGCTGATGACAGGGTTGAGCAAATTGGCAATGACGACGAATATTGCGAATATTAAGACGAATACTAAACTATTAAAATGCAGTCACACACAAGGTAAATGTAAAAGTTCGATTTTCATCGGATTTCCTCGACGCACAAGCTTGATAGATTTGAGAGAAAAGTACATCGGCATGGCGCATGATCTTTTTCAAGGTACACCTTCGTGCGGCTAACAGTTTTGCCATTTTCGCCACATCGATTTAATAGAGTACTGGTAGTCTGGTAGCTCGGCTTTACGGGCGTTGGATCTGTCTCACAAGTCATAGGTCGCACAGTGAAAGTTATGTGAGCTGTTTGTTTTGTATGTGATGATGGGCGCCCTGCCTCTGATGTGCAATGTTTCGAGTGTGATGATGTCTATGATGTTTGGAATGCCTTAGTTCGGTGTTGTCCATGACTGATGCATTGATGGTGAGTTTAGTGTTGTGTGTACGCACAGGTGTTTTCGGTGTCACTTACCGTAAGTACATGGTTAGACGTTGGTTGAGACTTGTTACAGTTAGGCCGATGTATTTCATCTTGTGGGTTCCACAGTTCCCGACGGTACATTCGATACAGATAATTTAATTGGTCTGTTTCAACTTATCTCTGATCTGGTAGGGATTATTTGCCATGTCAGGAAAGATGTTTTGGGACTTTTGGTATATCAAAGATCTTAAGTTGTCTCCGTTTATCAGTGGGATTGCAGTGTTCGAGGACACTTCCGCAGCGCGGCCCAGACCGAGCTTAGCTGCCAGCGCTGGGCGCTCCGCCGCCCGCCCCCGGCGCCGTCTCCCCGACCTCACCAGCGCCGCTCTGACCGCAGGCGCTGTTTCTCGTCGCCACTGCCGCGGCAATGGCGGCCGCCACGGGCCCCGGTCCGTTCACCGCGCCCGGCCACGCCCCCGGCTACGGCTACGCGCGGCCGTACCAGTTCCAGTACGGCGTGTCCGACCCCGTCACCGGCACCGTGTTCTCGCACGAGGCGAACAGCGACAGCCAGACGGTGCTCGGCTCGTACTCGGTCGACCTGCCCGACGGCCGCACCCAGCACGTCCGCTACATCGCCGACCAGGTCGGCGACGGCGGCTACAACGTCGTCGTCACGTACGACGGCGTGGCGCAGTACCCGAAGACGGTGCCCGCGGTGCACGGGCCGGCGGCCTACGGCGCCGCTCCCGTCCACCTGCTGAAGCCCGCAGCCGCCTACACGGCCGGAGCTGGTGCCAAGACGTCAAGCCTGGCCTACGGAAAGCCGCTGGCGTACGCTCCCGCCTCTGCCTACGGTGCGGCTCCAGTGCACCACAGGGCGTCCGGCTACGCTGGTTCATCTGTCGGGGCGCCCGGCTCTGCTCACCACGCCGGGACGGGGGGCCATCACGTCCCCGCCCATTCGCACTCATCAGCTTATGAACCCAAGGCGGCCTACGCCGCTAGCGCTCCTCACACTGCTGCGCCTGCGTTCAACCATCTTTCTGCCTATAAGACATCCTCTGCTTACACGCCGTCGCCCGCCAACAAGCCGTCCTCTGCCTACAAGCCATCATCCGCCTATAAGCCGTCCGCTGCCCACAAGCCCACTTCTGCCTACGCTGCTGGTGCTTCCCACGCTGTAGCTCCGGCCTCTACGCACTCTTCCGCCTACAAGCCCTCCTCTGCATACCCTGCCGGCTCTTCTCATACTGCAGCTCCTGCCTATACGCACTCTTCCGCCTACAAACCCACCCCTGCCTACGCTGCCGGCTCTTCGCATACTGTAGCTCCTGCCTACACACATCCCTCCGTCTATGCGCCTATTTCTGCCTACACCGCTGGCGCTTCTTACCCCGCAGCGCCCGCTTACAACCCCAGCTTTGCTTATAACTCTAAGTCAGCTTACGCTGCCGGTGTTTTCCACGGCGTGGCTCCTGCCTACAGCCACCCATCCGCCTACGCTCCCGTCTCAGCATATACCGCTGGCGCTCCGCACCCCGCCATCCCCGCATACACCCACATATCCGCCTATAAGCCCATATCGACGTACGCCTCTGGTGCCCCGCACGCCGCAGCCCCTGCCTATGCTCACTCCGCTGCCTACATGCCTGAGTACTCCTACGCCAACGGAGCCGGTTACCATGCCTACTCGAACGTTTCTCCATACCATCCTGCCAACTCTTTCCACGGTGGGGCCGGCTACCACCCGGTTCGCGCCTACAGCCCCGCCCTGGCCAGCGGCCCGCACCGCGGCTATCCAGCTCCCGTCTCCGGGTACGATGGGAAGACCGCCCACAGGCTGGGCGGCGCCCACGACCAACTCGCGGCGCACGAGTCGGCGGCTGGCCACGGGTCAGCGGCATCTTACCGGCTTCAGTCCGGGCATGGCAGCCCGTCGGCACACAAACCCGTCCCGGTCCATGGCAGCCAGCCCTACTCTGAGCCTGCTCCGGCATACGCGCCATCCGCGCCGTACAAGCTTGCCTCCGCCTACGGCGATGCCTCCGCCCACCAGTCTGCCTCCGCGGGTGCTCATCCCTCCAGCTACAAGCCGGTGTCTGGCCGAGGCTCTGGCTCCTCAGCGGCTTACGGCGCGCACCCCAAGTCCAGCGTGATTATTCACGGTGCGGCGCATGGCTCCAAGCCCGCTTCCGCGCCCGCCCCACCTCTCGTCCTACGCACCCCAGGCTGCGTACCACGGCTCCCCCAGCCCGAAGACGTCGTCAGCAGCCTACGGTCACGGCGCCAGCTCTGCGCACGCCAGCCTGGGACACGGCAGCAACAGCGTCCACAGCTCTACCGGCAGCTACGGCCACAGCTCGGCGAAGGCCCACAGCTCCACCGGCAGCTACGGCCACAGCTCGGCGGAGGCCTACGGCTCCACCGGCAGCTACGACGACAGCTCTGCGGAGGCCCACGGCTCCACCGGCAGCTACGGCCATAGCCCGGCGGAGGCCCACGGCTCCACCGGCAGCTACGGCCATAGCTCGGCGGAGGCCCACGGCTCCACCGGCAGCTACGGCCACAGCTCGGCGGAGGCCCACGGCTCCACCGGCAGCTACGGCCACAGCTCGGCGGAGGCCCACGGCTCCACCGGCAGCTACGGCCACAGCTCGGCGGAAGCCCACGGCCACGGCGGCTCTCTTTCGTACGCGCCAGCTAAGCCTGTGTACAAGGCACTGTCTCCGCCCAAGAAAATCGAGTTCGTCCACGTGTATCATCCCGGGCCCTACCACAAGACGAAGTCCCATTAAGCAACCGGCTGTGTTGAGGGTCGCATGAGCACGTACATGGAGAAGAGCGTCCGCCGTCCGTGTTACTTTGTTGGATGAATGTAATATATTGCGTGGGTGTGCCGGGATGAATGTACCGCTTAGCTAAAACGCAATGTAATCAAGGCCATGGAGATGGAACGACAAGCTGTTCAGCCGTGTCGAGCAGCAGCTGTGGTTTTAAATTACGCATGGTGCATGTATTTTAACCCCGTGCGCTTGCTATGAAATACAATTTTGTCTTCGGTGCATTGATGGAGAGCAAGACACGAGCTGTGGCTCACCTCGGACCTGATCGGAATATTAATGCAGTCCAGCCCAAGTATATATAAGTATATCCAGCCCAATCAATAATCATTTCATGAGGTTATTAAATTAATGAAGGGCTTTAATCTTCTGGCGCATCTGCGTTGAACAGTAGCTGTTTGGGCTGGAAGTGGACCCACGGCCGTTTGATATTTGGCGGCACAAAACTAAGACGGACGACAGAGTTGAGCCGGACCCTGTCAAAGCAAAGCTCTCGGCGCATCGGATCTGTTCCCGCATGCATTCTTGCAATACATAGGTAGGCTTCACAACACCTCTGTCAAAATCGATGTTCAGTTCTCTTAGCAGCTGTTGCACTGCATCTGAACATCTGTTCATCATAGTACGGCTGTCGCTGCCAGCTTTCTTAAGTGTCAGTTGATGATATAAGCCAAGTACCAAGTCTTGTTTGTTTTGCTAGAAACAACAGCCATGCGCTTTCACCAATGTGTATACGTGATGGCGTGTGATTTCAGCTCGGCTTTGTTGTTGGATAGCGTATATTTGCTGTGTTCCTGATGTGAACAAAGCTCATGATGTGGTGGTAAGACCATTTTGTTTTTTTTGGCAACCATTTTTCCCACTTTGATAGCTCGACTAACTTCGATCTCACCGCGTATCCTGAGCCTGACGGATCGCCGGAGGCCTCGAGGGGGAGCAGAGCGCCTTCGATTACCAGAGTGTCCTTGGTTTGAAGTCAGACGAATGCACACCCGTCAAAAACAAGGCACCATGTCAATCTCCGTTCCCGGATTCCCGGGATTCCCTCCGTATCGTCAACAGCGCGCTCGATCGGCCCGACACGGCTCCGCGCAATAAAGTGTGGTGATTTCAGTGTCCGGACAGGAAGTCCACTCGCAGTTCGCCCAAGGCCTTTTTCGACTACTATATGGCGACTTGCATAACATTCACCAAATGGGATTTTCGACTTTCCTAGAGCCGCCAGTTTTGCGGCGGAGGACGCCCCGCCGTCCGGGGCGGTATCGCCTAGCTAGCGACCGGCCAGGGTCTGGCCAACTGACCCGGGCCTGGGAGCCGACGCGCTGGCTTGGCAGGACAGCTGAGCCGACCCATCAGTGTGACGGCGACCAGAGCCGGCCGGCTCAGCTGAGCGCCGGTCTGTCGCAGCCACCTGTTTACAGTAGTGCGGTGCTCACAGACCGTCGGGAACGCCAGGCCTGACTGACCGGTGCGAGGTGAGTGCTGTCCGTTGCAGCTTCTCCAGTGCCGGTAAGCCTGCTGTCATGGCTGTATGCTAGTCATAGCTGATGGACGCGTAATGGGTTGTACCCGGCTCATGTCCGTACCCGTGAATGCCCCTCAGTGTTTGCTTACCAGCGACGTCTTATGAGAACAGACTACATAATAACCGGCCCTGTGTCCAATGTCTTCTGGCTAGCGGCCCACACTAGTAGACTTACAGAAACCGTGAACGCCTGAAAGGACTGAGCTCCACTCAATGTTGTAAGTAAAAAGGCCTATAATGCCTTTGGACCCCAAGCTTCGCCTTTGAACCGGTTGGTTCCGGTTACCGGGCTTGACTGACCTGTGACCCGTAACCATCCGGGGCTTCACTGCCCTGTGACCAGTAACCATCCGGCTCCCCAGTGACCGGGCTTCACTGCCCTGTGACCAAACCATCCGGGCACCCCCAGTGACCGGGCTTCACTGCCCGTGACCAGTAACCATCCGGCTGCCCCCAGTGACCGGGATTCACTGCCCTGTGACCAGTAACCATCCGGCTGCCCCAGTGACCGGACTGACTGCCCTGTGACCCGTAACCATCCGGCTGCCCCAGTGACTGGATTGACTGCCCTGTAACCCGTAACCATCCGGCTGCCCCCAGTGACTGGACTGACTGCCCTGTAACCCGTAACCATCCGGCTGCCCCCAGTGACCGGACTGACTGTCCTGTGACCCGAAGCCCGGCTCCGCTGAAGGCCGGCCATGGCGCCTTCGGTGGCGGTGATCGGCGCCGGCGTGAACGGTGTGGGGGCGGCGCTGGCCGTCCAGGAGGCCGTGCCCGAGGTCAAGGTCACGATCGTCGCCGCCGAGCTGACGCCCGACACCACCGGCGACGGGTCGGCCGGCTTCTGGAGCCCGCGCTCCATCGACGGCGACCCCGTGCAGGTAATGACGCGCGGCGTCGGCAGAGGCGCAGAGGCAGGGGCGCCAGCTCGGCAGAAGCCGAGCTGGCGCCGCCTTGTACAGCTGACAAAGTCGCAGTAACACGTGACTGAGCCGCCCGCCGCGTCATTTAATGGTATGCCAGTGAGTATAGAGGGAATCTGTCATCTGGCTTGCGGTGGTAGCTGCGAGTTTGCCAAGCAGCTCGTCTCATTCTCCTTTACCGTTACGTTAAACGCCATGCAACAAGGGCCCCGTGGTACTTTTGGAACATGTTCAGCTAACCGGTATGTGATTGGTAGCCCGTTAGCTGCTATTCGCTGTGTATTGGTGACGCATTATCGAGATGGAGCCAAAGAAACAAGCTCTCATTTTGTTGTAAATAACTGTAAGAAAACTTATTCAAGAACGCCCTTGCGCCGAACAATAAATCCTGCCAGTTGTGCGTTTTGTTTGTGACCGGGAATTCTAGACCAAAAACTGTCCTGACCAAACAACACATGCTCACCTCTCACAAGTTGCAGCCCTCATGCAGAGGCTTAAACTTTATAGGTCACCGCAAAGAGAAAACCCCTGGCAAAACAAGAGATATGGAATAGATCACGAAATTAAGCCGCAGCGTTCTACGCAGCTAAAACGTTTTTTCCCCATCACAGTCCCTTTTGGCCCAAATCCCTTCAAGCAACCGACAAAGTAGCGACGGGCCAGATGACGGCGAGACAAGTTGCCTTGACCTCCACCCGACCACCGAGGTCGAGAACCTCGTGTATTCACGCCACCACCAGAGCCACTTGCCACCGGGTGGGCACACCATGGTAGCTCATGGTACGGTAATGATCCCACAGCCCCTGTCGGTCAAAGGTGGGTGCAACATTGCCCCATAGTTCGGACTGATTGGTGCGCTGCCCGCCGGGTCAGGGTCTGCGCCGTGCATAACGAGCCATGCTCAGCAAGGACTTCAATCATGATGCCGATCAGGAGAACAATGCATGCCACGTTATCATAAGAATCGCGGTTGATCGCAACAATTGCAGTTAATAACCGATGGATAATTCAGCTCCGCGCCGTGATTGCCTCAGTTTAAAGCAACCGTGGTCAAAGAGAAAAGAAATTGCTTTGGCGTCATTGCATCACGTTTACATTTTGTCGACGATCCACATGTGATGGAACATTTCTGTACTATCAGAACCTATTCAGCAACATTCGCCATGACATTGCGCTATGCTGTAGAGAGTTGGAATGTTATCTACACCGTCTTTTTAGTAGGTACATATTTGGCGGACTATGGGCGCAAAAGCCAAAGGCCTATGATGTACCTTGGTATATCGGCTAGGCTTGCCGCTTCTTAATTTCACGTACTTTTTCTTTCCGTCCATACACAACACCGCATTTCGTTTTGCATATCCGCGTTCGTTTCACGTGTAAGCTCCGCGCCTGCTCTGGGCTGGCCTCCCCAGCCTCCGTCCGCCTCCTCGAGCTCCCCGCGGCTCCCCGCCCGCAGATCACCTCCTGGGGCCAGCGGACGCACGACTTCCTGCACCAGCTGTGGCTGGATGGCCAGTGTCCGGGCGTCGGCGTCCTGCCCGGCTACGACGTGGCGGATCAGCTGGAAGTGCCCTACTACAGCGCCGTCCCCTTCGCCTACGAGGTGATGAGTGAGCGCGCGCTGCGTGAGGCGGGCCACGCCGGCAAGCAGGGCCACCAGTACGTCACCCTGTACGCCGAGCCGACCAAGATGCTACCTTTCCTGATGGAGCGCTTCCTCGCGCGCGGCGGGCGCGTGCTTCGCGCGAAAGTCGAGCGGCTCGATCAGCTGGCCGGCTATGACGTCATCGTCAACTGCAGCGGGCTGGGCGCGCGTGACCTCGTCGGCGACGACAAGGTCATGCCGGTGCGCGGCCAGGTGGTCAAGGCGGCGGCGCCGGCCGTCAAGGCGGCCAAGTTCGACTTCCCGGCCACGTACGTGATTCCCAACGATGACGTCGTGGTGCTGGGCGGCACGGCGCAGCGCGGCGACTGGCGGCGCCAGGTGGACCCGGCCGACACGGAGCGCATCCTGGCCGGCTGCCGGCGCTGGATCCCGAGCCTGGGCGCGGCACTGACCCAGCGCGTCTGGGCCGGGCTGCGGCCGTACCGGCGCGGCGGCGTCAGGCTGGAGACGGAGCGGCGCGCCGTGGCCGGCCGCCTCGTGCCCGTGGTGCACAACTACGGCCACGGTGGCTCGGGCGTCACCCTCTTCTGGGGCTGCGCGCTGGATGTGGCGGAGCTGGTCAGACGGGAGGTGGCGGGTGAGGCGCGGGCCAGCAGCAAGCTGTAGTCGCCCGGCGGTGACCACGGGCTGAGGGCTCAGCAGGGAGGGACCGCTAATACTGCTGCTGGCATTCAGTACCGTAAACGGCCAGAGCCAACAGAGGTGGGAAAGAAGCGGGCCTCCCAAGCAAGTTTGAGGCTGTGTATTATTAAAAGGACAGCAATTTATCTGTTTCGGTCCCAAGTATCCAGGGGAAAAGGGCAGGTGGGACATTTCCCCAATCTTCATGAACGTGGGTGGACTGGCACGCATTGCTCCTGAGCAGTGACGCGGCGACGCTGCGACAATCAGTGCGTTTGTGTCGTTGGTGCAATACAAAGTGTATTCGGTTCATCAATGAGTTTTGGCCCAAATGAGGCCAATAATAGACGCGAATAAGCCGGCCGGGAAAACATTTAGCTTATTGCTAAGAACGGGGAGATATATATAATATATATTATATATATATATATATATATATATATATATGAATAAAGCATAGATGAAATATTCGGAAGGAAATATAATATATAATATAATATATATTATAATATATATATGCATAGATACGCATCATGAATACTCGGGCCATAATTGCAGGCAAAAGTAAATTTCGTCGAAAACGTTTGGCCGGTTTCCTATCTGGGTGACTTGTATATCAATAAGTATATTCGCTGCCCACGCTATTGAAGTGTATCCCACACGGGCAGTCACTCAGGTGGCAGCAAACCATTTTTGAAGCGTTAGGAAGCGAACGCGGACATGGGTGACAGCGCCCCTGGCGGCGGACTTTGTCCGTATCTTTGTGTGTGCAAAGCATTCATCTGTTCGTTTGAGTTAAAAACGACGTGGTATACGCAAACAACCGCAAAAGATGCCTTGAACACGGAAATTGTTCATCAATTACCACAAGCAAATATACATTCTGCACGTAGATGTCGTCGTACGATGAATATAGATGAAATGAAATAAAATACGATGAATTTGATGAATATCGTCCAAGTACGCTGCCGGTGAGAGTACGCCGAAAACTCAGCCCTGAGACCTTTTGCAGGCTGTAACGTGCGAGATGATTCGGAATCGTTAAGTGTTCACCATGCGCAGTTAAGCCAAGACCCGGAGAAGCGCTTCCTTCAGCCACAATCGGCCTTGAGAGAAAATTGGTTCGACTTTAGATTTTTATAAATTTTACATACATCTTCATAACAAGGCAAACCGTGATTTTCTTACGTTTGTGAACAAATATGGTGGGCCTGTGCGCTTTTAACCCCGGTATAAGTGTTTGATTCGCTGTAAGTTTGTTTGTATGGGAAAGTTATTTTTCGCAATACCCCCATTTCTATTACACCACTTATATCTAGCCACACACTTAAACACCCAGGTACGCATTTTCCTCGAATTGCGCCATTAGAGCAGCTTTACTTGAACATTTGTTTGGAACTATGCGTTAATTCCTTGCGACAACTGCAACATATGTATTCGACCGGCAGGGGTGCGAATCTCCCCTTATTTGTAACTGGGCGTGGCGACGAAGCGTTCTGTGCAGCGCCACGCCTGACTAGCTTTCCGGCATCAAGTTGACTTCTGTGTTGTTTGTGAAAACTTCAACCGTCGCAGGTCAGGTCACCAACCCAGATCGGATCATACAGTTCAAACACTAGGAAAGTTGACCTCGTGTCGCTTTTGAGGGAGAGCATGTTGGTGTGAGGAGTGATCGTAAACGATCAGGATTTTGTGTTGCAACGAAGGGCCAAATATCTAGGATGTCTTAAAATATTCATGACCGTTGACCCGAGGCAGGTCCAATTTTTCTCCTATTTATGTCTCGGTTACTTCTATCGATTTGCTCCTGCATTCGTACTTGTGTCTTGCTACGAGTACGGTCAATAACACAATCCGGTAACACCATCCATGAGAGAACTAAGCACAAAAACATGCTTGATCGTAGCTTTAGGCCTATGACCGCTTAACACCCGGCGTCCACGATATGGTAAAGATACATAATGTATTGCTGCATGTGGAGAAAAATAATCACCAACTACGAACTCAGCATTAAAAATACACGTCTAACCTATGACTATCGTTTCAAGCTATTACGACATATGGTGCCACAGCACTGATCCAACGCTGAAAACAACTACGCACGCTCCCTTGCATTGATGAAACCTCTCCGTCGATGCCCCATTTCCCTTTGCGATGATGCGCAATTAATGATAAGGTACGACCGGCGCAGTCGTCAGTTGCCAAAACCTCTCCATGTTTGACTTGAGGCGCATGTGCAAGATCCGCCATTCTCTTGAAGCACGGAGGAGCAACAGCGATCTGTGTATTGAATGACGCGAGAACTACGGCAAAGGCATCACTTGATCACCACTCTCTGCCATTCACGACTCCCCTGCCACTGCACTGGCTACACCGTTGATTATCAGCAGTACTGAGACGCAAATAAACACAAGCTTGCAGGCTGCGAAGCGTTCGACACATGTACACCACCCGGCCCTGTCTGTCCTCACACTGCCACACGGTTTGAAAGAATAAGGCGACCACCATGCTCCTGCATGTACTGTCTTATGTGTAAGTGGTTATTTGAACAAGAAGCATTTTTGCTCGCGAAGAATTTACATTGCCGACCCCTAATGTTCCGACAATGACATCAAATGCGCATGATTGCTCTCGCAGCGCACGACTTAAGGTATTTGCAATGGGCGCTGTAACATTACAGATTGCTGCGGAAGCCGTCACGTTACCGTTGGGTGACACGCCAATGGGACATCAACGGAATGTAATGAATCGGACAAGTGCACTGTGCTTGCAGCTTATAGCCTGGTGGTAACGCTATCGAGTGCGCAGAGTCGTACCTTTTAATCGCCAATGATCATAAGTATTGTTCGCTTGCCGTCGTATACTGGCCATAATGCTACAGGCAGTCCGGTTGCAGTTAGCAATGGCTTTCAATGACTTATTGAAACAAAGGTGGTCATGTTGGTGATTTGAATAAGATAGTTCTCCGGTTATGGCATGGTATGCGTATGGTCGTACCCGCGGCGCGTGACTAAAGGTATCAAAGGGAGGGATTGTTCCACATTTCGATGTGGTTTTGAAAGGAAGATATTGAAGATTTTAAAGATCTGGTAAAGACTGCTGGTGGCAGTCAGCGTATTATCAGTATCAGTATTAGTATATGGGATACCAAGCACGTAGTGGCTATTATGGCTTATGTCATGAACGTGCAGTATGAAAAGATACGCATAGCAGTTCTATGAGTGCACTGTGGGCCGGATCAGATCAGTGATCAGTAGTTAAGATCACTTCGAGTATGGCGGTCTTAAACGCGCTCAGTGTTTTGTCATCTCGGACGTACGATGGCAGGCGGTTCCAGGCAGCTGCAGCTCTGTGCGAACACGCCCTTTGTGTGGTAGCCAGCCGGAGTCTGCGCAGGTGCAGACTACCTCTGTCTGGGGCGCGCGCCTCTCGGGTCGAAACAGCGGACCGTGAGGCAAGAAGCGCAGACCTCGCGAAACGCACCTACCTCCGTCAGCGCCCTGAACACTTCAGTCACGCCGCGGTGCAACCACCGGGACATCGATCCTCGGTCATACCAGGCAGTTTACCACCGGAGTTACATGGTAGTGCTTTTTGGAGCCCTAATTACCCTTGCAGAAAAGTTGGTCGTTCTTATAATGTTGTGTAGTTGGCTAGTTGACTCTCGGTCGCCCCACCCCACACGCACAGGCAGTGCGTGTTATGGCGGAATAATTTACGCCAGTAGGAAACCTTGAGAAGGTCTGAAGTAAAGCGATGACGGGATCTGTGCAGAGAAACAAGGATATCATCGCATTTTTTCACTTCGAAAAATTAAACTCGGATATCATTCGGTGCAGTTTATAGCTCTTCTTAAGACCTAGGCCCCTCTAATTTCTGATCTAAACGCCCGCAAAGATAGGAGACTATTTCTGGGAGAGTATTTGAAGGTCACCTTGACGTTCAATGACGTCGTAATAACTCCATTCAAATCCTGTCATTCCATCAGCCATGCGGTGATCGAGGCCAAGACAAATATAATGACCAAGTCGTTCATATCTGGTGTTCGTGAGCGCGATTTCAGATAAAATGACCATCAATTGGATCTCAATCAATGTTGTGCATGGTAAGATGACGTAATCAGGCAGTGATTTATCGAGGAGCATATGTACATAACGGATAAATGGTGCTGTCTAGAGCAAGCTTATTCGCTTAAAAGTATACCAATAGGTATAAGTAAGCTTGTTTCATCATATCTGATGCTTGCTTCAATATCTTCAACTGTGAAACACTCCCGTTAAGTGTTCGCCGGTAACTTTGCAAACCGCGGCTGAGGCTGTCACATCAGCATTGAGCGACACGCTATCCGGGGCGGGAGGAGGGGGGGGGGGGGGGGGGCGGGGGGCCGACCGAATTAAGTCTAGGCGTAATCAAACAAGTGTGCTGTACTCATGGCTGATAGACCTATGCCAGCGCTATCGTACGCACAAGAGCGCGCTCTTCGGGTGTTATTACAAATACTATTCTGGTCCGCCGTACTCTGGACACAGCGCTACGGGCAGGCCACCGCAGTTACCAATGCATCATCAAGAGGTAATTATATCAAACAGGTCGCGTTGGCAGATGTGTAGGTTGTGTTCCTGTCCGCTAGTGCTTTCACGATGGTATCGTGTGTGTGTGGTCGCATCATCCGGGCAAGACTAAAAGTTTACTGTGAGCCGTAACTTTCTGACCCGCCAGCATTGAACAGGGAGCTGTCTCTGTTCCACCAAAATGGAAATAGGGATTGGAAAAGTGTATTGTACTGGATGTTGATGGCCCTATACCAGCGCTATGGAATGCATACGGCTGCACTCATCGCGCTTAATAACCATGTTTTTCCGTGCCGTAGTACTCTGAGCGTCACACTATGGCCAGGCTGGCAGCAGTTAACAATGCACTGTCAATGTGCAATTTGAACACAACAGGCCATGTTTTCCGAATGGCGATCTACTTTCTCAGAATGATGCCATTCTGTACCTGGTCTTACCCGCCGCACGCAACTGAATGTATATTAAATTTGGCGTCGTACTATTTCGAATCGGCTCTGCGGCTGGCGCTCCAGCACTAAATGTGACACTGTCCGGGTGTCCACCGAATAAAACGGATGCCTCGATCGCACGAGTGTGTTGTTCTTACAGCTGACAGCCTAACAGAGGCGATGTTGAATGCACTCAGTCGCAATCTTCGCATGCGAGCTGGTTTTTTTTTCTTGCCGCCCTTTTCTGGTTATCACATTATCGGCGCACCGGCCGCAGTCAACAATGCTTTTCGTAAAAACGTCATGTACGATG